ACAAAAGGTCTCACATATAGCATCTCATAAGGACTAAGACCAACCTGTGTCTTTTTGACAATAGGTGTGTGGAGGAGAGCTATTGGTAAAGCCTCCTTCCATCCCAGGGAGGTCTCCTGGGTTATCTATTTTATCACTGATTTTAAGAATTGGTTGGCTCTTTCTACTTTTCCTGAAGACTGAGGCCTGCAGGCACAATGGAGATAATAAGTAGTGCCCAATGCTTTAGAGACCACTGGATGACCTTAGAAGTAAATGATGTCCCATTGTCACTTTGTAATGACCTTGGCAGACCAAATCTCGGAATGATTTCATGGAGCATTTTTTTTTTTTTACCACCTCCTCAGCCTTCTCAATCCAGGTGGGAAAGCCTTCAATCCATACTGTGAATGTATCTATCATGACTAATAGGTATATAGACCCTTGAGAAACTGGCATCTGATTGAAGTCCATCTGCCAGTCCTCTCCTGGGTAGGTCCCACGTCATTGGACAGACTGGGTCAGCTGGGGTCTTCGATCTCTGCTGGGGTCCAGCCCCAGCGGAGTCCATGGATTCCCTTTGGATGAGCTGCATCAGTGAAGAAAAGAAAGTGAGTGTGGAGTCTTGGTTGAGTGCAGGATCAAGACTACTTTATTCTTTTACATCAGTGCTTATATACCCTAAAACCAATAATCCTTCAAAAAGGTTTAATGAGGGGGAAATGATAGGATTGTACCAGGTGCATAATCACAGGTTACATCATAAATAACTTTCCAGAACAATCAATACCTACACATAACTTTTAAATAATTCAATGGCAGCAGCTAGTCAACTGTGAAAAGCCATCTACAAACCTTATCTTGGGAAGCTCAGCCCTGGGCAGACTTAACTCTGGTATGTAATCCTAAGGGTCAGAGGTCTCATGAATTCCCTCCTGATCACACCCTAAGGAATCTTTTCAATGAACTCTTATCTACTTTTGCTTATGGGATAGACAAGCCTGTTGCTAGAAGAATTGGTTTTGTGCTAGAAGGATTTTTGTGCAATCATGAGCATTCCAGATTCTAAATTGGCAATCATAATTCCAACAGAGCCAGAAGAGGCAGGATATTCTGTGTAATATATTCCTTACCTCTGGCCTATTTATTGGGGCCCATGTGCCCCTAGGGACTGTGTTGCTGTCATGCAAAGGTTTCAAGGAGGGATTTTAGGTAAGAGTCAGACTAGTTTTTAGGGAACATAGAAGAACACCAAGCATCAGAAGATGAAAGGACGAAGGCCTGGGAGTGGATGGTGGGGCAGTCATGAGAAACCCCTGGAAGTCCAGACGCCTTTGCGTGTGGAGCGGTCCCAGAGGTCCGGATGCCTTTGCGTGCCAGCTCCTTGGATCCAGACCTTGTCACGGGTGGGGTTTCTCTTGCTGGCTCCCAACAGATCTCGATGGTAGTTGTTTAACTGGCAAGTGGGACAAGAGGAGACCACTTGCTTTATAGTCGTTTGGAGGCCTGTTCCTCTGAAGGACCTTTCTAGTAATCTTTGGAGGGCCTTTTCCCCTAAATGAGTGGTGGCATGTAGGGAGTTAACCAACTTCCATTGGAGGTTTCCAAGCAGAAAAAGGAGTCCCTCATTTTGGAACCATCCCATATGATCTTCTTGAAAGCCCTCATTCTTAGTTTTAAGAGTCTCACCTTCAGTATATGAAGGAGTTTCTGGCAAATTAGTCTGTGGAACAAGGTGGCAACCCCTATTAGGTCACTGTTTTGTAATTCTGCTCTCTTAGCTGCCTGATCGGCTGCTTGGTTCCCTCGTGACACTTCCATGCTCCCTTTTTGGTGTCCTTTACAGTGGGAGACTGAAACCTCAGTGGGTAGTTAGGCGGCCTCCAAGAGTCTAAGGATTTGATCACCAGAGTGGATTGGGGACCCTTGAGTGGTCAAGTGGCCCCTTTCTTTCCAAATAGCAGTATGTGTATGTAGCACCAGAAAGGCATACTTGGAGTCAGTGTAAATCACTACTCTTTTTCCTTTTCTCAGCTCTAAAGCTTGAGTCGGGGCTATGAGCTCAGCTAATTGGCCTGGAGTACCTGGTGCCAAAGCCTTAGCCTCTATGGTCTCAAAATTGGAGACTATGGCATATTTGGCTCATCTTTTTCCATCCAAGACAAAGCTGCTTCCATCAGTGTACCAGATTTCCTCAGGATTGGTCAGAGGATCTTCCGACAATCCTTCTTGGGGTTTTGTCCAGTGGTCCAAGGTTTCTAAGCAAGAGTGAAAGGGAACAGAGCCCTTCTGGCTAGGCAGGGGGGTAGCTGGGTTAAGAACCTCACAACAGGGTATAGTGAGGCCTGTATTTTCCATCAGCACTATTTGATAGCTGAGGATTCCTTTATCAGATGACCACAAATTGCCTCTCCTATTTAGGAGTTGTTTCACTTTTTGGCTGGTAAAAATAGTTTGCCCTCAAAAGAGAATTTTAAAACATCTTCTATCAGGATTGCAATCGCTGCAGAATTCTGAAGGCAGGAAGGCCAGCCTCAGGAGGTTGGGTCAAGCCTCTTGGATAAGTAAGCTATGGCTAGGGCTCAGATCCCAACGTTTGAGTTAACACTCCCTAGATTATTCCTTCTATTTTGTGGACATAAAGTTTGGATGTTTTTCCTGGGTCTGGCAAACTCAAGGCAGGTGCTTGAGTTAATGCTTGTTTTAGTGTAGCCTCTGCCTTCTTTTTAGGAGTTTCCCACATTAGTGGGATTGAATTATCCTGTCCCTTCAAGCTTTTATATAAGGGTTGGGCAACTAGACCATAGTTGGGTATCCAGATTGTTCAATACCCAATTAGCCCCAGGAAAACTTGCAATTGTTTTCAAGTCGTAGGGGGGCAACTGGAGGATTCCTTGTACCTGATCAGAGGACAGCCTTTTGGATCCACGTTTAATCTAAACTCCCAGGTAAGTGACTTTTTTTCTTGAGCATCTGTGCCTTAGCATGGGAGATGTTATATCCACTCTCTGCCAAAAAGTTCAGAACCTGAATTGCATGTTGTTGGGCATTTTTCTCATCTGGAGAGCAGATTGGTACATCATCTATGTATTGTAATATTTTCCCATTAGGTCCCAGGTCCAGATCTAGGAGATCCCAGCTAAGAGCCTGTCCAAACAGGCGGGGGCTATCTCTGAACTCTTGAGGTAATACTGTCCAAGTCATCTGTTGATGCTTTTCTCCTGGAGCCTCACACTCAAAGGCAAAAAGATACTGGGATTCTTTAGCCAGTGGTATGCAAAAAAATGCATCTTTGAGATCCAAGACTGTAAACCACTTGGCACTGGGTGAGATTTTTCCCAAGATTACATAGGGATTGGGTACTGTGGGATGGGAGGGGACTACGGCTTCATTTTTGATCCAGAGATCTTGAACCATTCACCAGGTTCCATCCTTTTCCTTTACAGAGAGGATAGGGGTGTTCCATAGCGAATTGGTGGGGACCAATAGCCCACAAGCAAGGAGTATACTTATTAGAGGCTGTAGTCCCTCCTGAGCCTCTCTTCTGAGGGGATATTTTTTCCAGTTAGGAAATCGAGTGGCATCTCAGAGGACAATGATGACCGGTTCAGCTTGGTAGGCTCGTCTAGGAGTCTCCTGGTTCCACACCTGGGGGTTAATTTTGTCCTCCCAGAGTTTTTGGTCCCTCTCTATTTAGAGGGTGTAATGGGTTCTTCAGTAGTAACCAGAAGCTGTAGGGCTCTAGGGGCTGAAAAGCTTCCCATCACAAGGGTGGTCCCCACTTTAGTGAGTATCTCTTCTCAATAAGGGAGTAGGACACTAAGGGACCACCAGAAACTGGTGGGAAAATATTTGTCCATCCCAGCAACAAAGACGTGCTCGGGTGAATCTTTTAGTAGCTGTTTTTCTAGATTCCATATAAATACATTGGAATATGATATTTATCTTTCTCTTTCTGACTCACTTTATTCCGTATAATAAGCTCTAGATTCATCCACCTCATCAGAACTGACTCAAATGTGTTCCTTTTCATGGCTAAGTAATATTCCATTGTGTATATGTACCAAATTTTCTTTATCCATTTATCTGTCGATGGACATCTAAGATGCTTCTATGTTCTAGCTGTTGTAAATAGTGCTGCAATGAACAATGGGATACATGTGTCTTTTTAAATTTTTGTTTCCTCAGGGTATATGCCTAGGAGTGGGATTGCTGGGTCATATGGTGGTTTTATTCCTAATTTTTAAAGGAATCTCCATACCATCTTTCACAGAGGCTGTATTAATTTGCATTCCCACCAACAGTGCAAGAGCGTCCCTTTTCTCCACACCCTCTCCAGCATTTACTGTTTGTTGATAGTTTGAAGATATCCATTCTGACTGGTGTGGGATGATATCTCATTTTATTCTTCACTTGCATTTCTCTAATAATGAGTAATGTTGAGCATTTCTTCATGTGTGTGCTAGCCATCTGTATGTCTACATTGGAGAAATGTCTGTAGATCTCTTGCTCACTTTTTGATTGGGTTATTTGCTTCTCTGGTATTGAGCTGAATGGGTTGGTTGTATATTTTGGAGATTAATCCTTTGTCAGTTGTTCCATTTGCTATTATTTTCCACCATTCTGAGGTTTGCTTATTCACTGTGCTTATAGCTTCCTTCACTGTGTGAAAGTTTTTTAAGATTAATTAGGTCCCGTGTGTGTGTTGCACACCAATGGGTTGCTGTCGCTGCAACAGGCCTAGGACCCTGGCCTCAGCACTGGTTTGTGATGCTGGCCAACAACCGGCTGGACTTTGCCAACTCGACCTGCGACACAGCCACACAGCCACGGACTTTGCAGGCAATGCGGTCCTGCTGTTCTCCTATTTGTTGGTGGGCATGAAGGTGCTGCAGTAGCAGGCCACTGGCTGCACGGACTACTAGCTTGGTTACTACGTACAGACCATAGGGCTGGAGTGTGCACAACTCCCCTGAGATGAGGTGCCAAGTCGGGCTAGGTGCTGCTTTGCTGGCCCAGTAATGCCTCAGTCACCGCCGCATAGCTGGCGCCAACCTCTGCTTGGGCGAGGAGGTCAAGGGCCTGTCCGCAGAGTGCTCGCCGCTGCCACCTGGCCCGCCAAGGACTCTAAGCCCAAGGACCTGTCTGACACCAGCTGGATACAGACGCCCTCCTCCATGAAATCCTTCGACTTGAGCGACTCTGGGATTTACGGGCAGGCCAAAAGGAGGCAGATCGTGCCCACCAACATGCCCGTGTCCGAGACCTCATCCCCACTCAAGAGCGAGGTGCTGGCTCAGTGGGACTGCGAGAACTGTGCCAAGGACACAGGCGACTACTATGGCTTCTACTCGCACAGCTAGGCCGGCCCCTCACGCCTCTTTCTCTGCTCACGCCCCACCTGGTGCAACCCCTCAGTTTATTTGACCTTCAAACACCATCTGCAGCGAATTAGTACAGGTTTCCTGAGTGTGATTTTAACTTTTTTTTGCACAGCAGTTTCTGCAGTTACCACATCAACCTTCAACTTGACCATAAACCTTTTTGGTTTGCCTACTTACTCTCCTTCTGTGAAATTATCCTAACAGTCCCCCATCCCGCTCCCCCCCACCCCGTCTTTTTCTCATAGTCTCCTTGTCTTTCTCTTGTCACAAAACTCTTCACCTTTAGGAGACCTGGGCAGTCCTGTCAGGCAGCAGCAATTCTGACACGCCAAGTCTCAGACTCACCATTAACCATAAGATGTTGACTGTAGAACCTGGACCCATCCAGTGCGTCCTTTCTTATCCCCTAGTGGATGGATGGATGGATGGTAGGTATATTAATAATTCAAGTGGAACAAAGCCTGTGAAATGACTGTATATAGTGTTAAGTTACTATAATGAATGACTAGTTTTTATTCCCATTGTCAAGGCACAAAACCAGTTCACGCTTAAACTTTCTCATTAATTTCCTTTTTCTCCAGCTCTCTCCACCCCTGAAAATGTTTTCTTGTGAGATTATTAACAGTATTCTAAGAGGCTTTGGAAGCTTGAAAGACTAGATAATGAAGAGTTTCTCGCTTCTCCTCAATCTGTTGCATGAAATAACTACTCCGTGCCCTACTGCACACAAATAGCTAAGGAGATTCTGACCAAAAACCTGTAAAGGATAGGTGTCTGTTCATAGGCAAGCCAATTAAGTGGGATGATGCCTGCAATGCAAAGTTAACTGGAGTTATATGTTTTTTCCTCCTTCCTTCTAAATAGAATAGCTCGACATCAGCAATATTATTTTGCCTTGTTTGTTCTTCCCCCAAAGTGACAAATCCATTACTGGTCTGTGCAGGTGCCAAATATGCTGACAAATTCTTTCTGAATATCTTTTCAGTTCCCCCCTCCACCTTTATATGCTTTAAATCTTTGTAGTGAATATTCTACTAATGATATAGATGACTGAATTGTTGGACTCTAGAGTAGTATAGTGAAGATGAATTTTGTGAGTTATATATTTTACTGCCTTTTAGTTTTGAAAATGATTTCCCCACCAGCTAGAAACAGTTGAAATTTGACTTCCTTGGGAAAACACTAGCATTAATGGAAGTAAGACTGTTTATTCTCCCCTTTAAGTCTTGTTATATTTGATAAGGAGCTCTGATTCCCCCTGAAAATAGATTAGTAGGATTTCTAATGTTGTGTAGTAGACCTATACTTTTTTTTGTATTTTAAAATTAATGTGAACTATATCTTATATACAATGTTCAATCTAGATTCCAGTCCATTGGGGAGATGTTTTTTTCCTAATAGTAATTCAGGGTCTAAACCTGTGTATATTTTGGCTCTTCTGTAAATCTACTGTTGTGATTTTTATATTTATTTTGCTTTGTCTGTGAACTGAATAATTTATACAAGTACACACTCCATTCAGAAATGTTTTGTTTCTTGCTCGTTTGTATCGTTTGTGTATAACAAATTTGTACTGTTTGTGTATAAGTAAACTAAATCTGGTAAAACAAAAAAGAAGATTAATTAGGTCTCATTTGTTTATTTTTCTTTTTATTTCCTTTAGTCTAGCAGGTGTGTTTTAGAGGATCTTGCTGTGATTTATGACAGAGTGTGTTCTGCCTATGTTTTCCTCTAAGAGTTTTAAAGCTTCTGGCCTTACATTTAGGTCTTTAATTCATTTTGTGTTTATCTTTGTGTATGGTGTTAGTAACAGCATTCTCAGGTGGCTCAGAGAGTAAAGAATCCACCTGCAATGCAGTCTCTGGGTCAGGAAGTTCCCCTGGAGGAGGGCATGGCAACCCACTCCAGTATTCTTGCCTGGAAAATCCCATGGACAGAGGAGCCTGGCAAGCTCCAGTCCATAAGTTCACAAAGAGTCAGATATGATTGAAGCAACTGAGCATGCACACATGCACATGGTGTTAGAAAGGGTTCAAATTCCATTTTTTTTTACAGGCACATGCCCAGTTTTACCAGCACCACTTATTGAAGAGACTATCTTCTCTCATTGTGTATTCTTGCTTCCTTTGTCAAAGATAAGGTACCCATCGGTGCATGGGTTTATCTCTGGGCTTTTATCTTGTTCCATTGGTCTATATTTCTTTTTTTGTGCCAGTATAATACTGTCTTAATGACTGTAGCTTTGTAGTATAGTCAGAAGTCAGGCAGTTTGATTCCTCCAGCTCCATTCTTCATTCTCAAGATTGCTTTGCCTATTTGGGGTATGTTGTGTTTTCACATAAATTGTGTATTTTTTTGTTCTAATTCTGTGAAAAATACCATCAGTAGTTTGATAGGTATTGCATTGAACCTGTATATTTAGTTACTTCACAGTATTCATTCTTCCAATCCAGGAACATGGTATATCTCTCCATCTGTTTGTGTCATCTTTGATTTCTTTCATCAATGTCTTATAGATTTATACATACTTGTCTTTTGTCTCTTTAGGTAGATTTTTTTCATCAGTGTTTTATTCTTTTTGTTTCAGTGGTGAATAGGGAATATTTCCTTAATTTCTCTTTCTGATTTTTTGTTAGTGTATAAAAACGCAGAGGATTTCTGTGTATAAATTTTGTTGATGTGGGTCTGCTCCCATTTTTTTCTTGATGAGTCTGGCTAATGGTTTGTCAATTTTGTTTATCTTCTCAAAGAGCCAGCTTTTAGTTTTATTGATCTTTGCTATTGTCTCCTTTTATTTTTTACTTATTTCTGCTCTGATTTTTACAACTTCTTTCCTTTTTCTAACTTTGAGATTTTTTAAATTCTTGTTTTTCTAGTTGCTTTAGGTGTAAGGTTAAGTTCTTTATTTAATGTTTTTCTTGTTTCTTGGGATAGACTTGTATTACTATAAACATCCCTCTGTTTTTAGTGTATCTCATACGTTCTGAGTTGTCATGTTTTCATTGTCATTTGTTTCTAGGTATATTTTCATTTGCTTTTTGATTTCTTCAGTGACCTATTGGTTATTCAGAAGTGTATTGTTTACTCTCCATGTGTTGTGGTTTTTGTATTTTTTTTCATGTATTTGATATCTAATCTTATAGTGTTGTGGTCAGAAGAGAGGCTTGAAATGATATTTTTTTCCGTAAATTTACCAAGGCTTGATTTTTGGCCCAAGATGTGATCTATCCTGGAGTAAGTTCCATGTGCACTTGAGAAAAAAAGTGAAATCTCCTGTTTTTGGATGAAATATCCTACAGATATTGATTAGGTCCAAGTGATCCAATGTATCTTTTAAAGCTTGTGTTTCTGAAAGGGTTAATAGCCTTGGTAGGGAGGTCAGAGGTCCCCAAGCAGCAGGAGGAAATAAACTGCAAGTGGCAGACTTTTTTTTTCTTCCTTACACAAAATTAAAGGAGGCTTCTTTTAATTCTGTGTTGCCATGACAACACCTGGTTCTACCTGAATTTATATTTTTCTCAAACCTTGAGCTAACCAATGCAATGTTAGCTGTGGAAATGTTTTTCCTAAGCTATGTTAATGAAACTGTATTTGTTTTGGAATCTGCCTTTCTTCAAATCCATTCCACCTAAGGCTAACCTTTTTCTCAAACTTAGAGTTGATAATAGCTCAGCAAACCAGTATGTCTTACTCAAGGAAATGTTTTCTTAAACTATTTTAATGAAACTAAATATTTGCTTGGGAATCTGCCTTTCTTCAAGATTCATGTCAATTGTTTTATGGCTGGAGATGACTCCCCTTGTGCCATTCTATCTCAAAATGCATGCTGTGGGAGAGGGTTCAACTCTCTCAGTCTTAAGGTGTTTCTTTTATCTGATTAGAAACTTGCTAACAGGTATAAAACGTCTTGCTAAAAACTAGCAAGGGGGAGTTCTTTCTGTCCCCTTCTGATGTCTATGTCAGAAGCTTTCTCTGTCTCTTTTTATACTTTAATAAAACTCTGCTACACAAAAGCTCCAAGTGATCAAACCTCATCTCTGGCCCCAGATCAAAATCTTCTCCTCTGGAGGTCATGAATGCTGGTGTAGCTCATGGATCATGACCACAACCTTTCATGTCCTTATTAATTATCTATCTGGATGACCTGCCCACTGGTGTGCAAGTGGTATTAAAGTCCTGAACTATTTTTGTGTAGCTGTCTATTTCTGCTTTAATAGTTTTTGACATTTGTTTTATGTATTCAGGTGCTCTTATGTTGGGTGCATATATATTTATAATTCTTATATATTCTTAGATTGATCCCTTGATCATTATGTAGTATTCTTCCTTGTGTCTTATACGTTCTTCATTTAAAAGTCTATTTCATCTGATATGAGTATTGCTACTCCCATTTTCTTTTGATTTCAATTTTCATGGAATATATTTTTTCTAGCCCCTCACTTTCAGTCTGTGTATGTCCATAGGTCAGAGGTGAGTCTCTTGTAGACAGCATTTATAGGGGTTTTGGTTTTGTACCCATTTAGCCAATCTCATTTTATTTTCAAGATTTTGGATCATCTTTACTATCATTGCTCTAAATTCTTTTTTCAGGTAGGTTGCTTATTTTCTCTTTCTTTTTTTGGTCTTATGGGTTTTTACCATGTCCCTTCATCTGCTACATGTTTCTCTGTCTTTTCAATTCATTTAATTTACTGTGTTTGGGGTCTCCTTTCTGCAGGTTGGGGGGTTACTATTCCTCTTAATTGTGAAGTCTGCTTCCCACAGGTGAAGTTGAAGAAGTGCCTTGAGAAGTTTTCCTGGTTGGGAGGACTTGAGACTGTGCTCTGCTGGATGGACCTGGATCTTGTCTTTCTGAAGGATTGTACCATGTCCAGTATTATGCTTTGGGATGTCCATGGGCTTGGTATGGCTTTGGGAATCCTTCGTACTAATGGTCAGGTTTGTTTTACTCTTTTGCTAATGGTTTGGCATGAGATGTC